CTGTTGTAATTAATGAAACATTTAAATATATCTCGAGTATTAGTTTTATAATTTTGTTGTAATTTGTATAATTGTTATTAAATTAAGGAAGCAAGAGAGTTAATTTGAATTTGTTTTACTATTTTTAAGTGTAAAGCAGTAAACTTTTCAAAATCCAATAGAAATGTTTCTGATGAATGAATTCTGATAGTTTTATATTTTTATATAAAAAGTTTTTAAATAATTATTTTCTCATTACAAGTCTATGAATTCCTAAGAAAACCAATATAGGTAATGGCTAATTTTAAATAAAACATTACTGTAAATTATATATAAGTTTGTTGAAAAGTTTTAGCTCAGATTTCAGATTTTAAACGTATACTTTTATATTGTTGCCCAAATATGTGATTGATCAATAGGCTAGAACTGAAATATAGTTTTTATGATAGCCTATGTTTATAATGAGGTCACAACTACTATTGTCCAGACATTGATCATAATATTTTTCAGTATATGGTACCTATATTATATAGTTCATGTTAAAAGGTATTTGGGCAACAAGATCTATACAGGACACCAAACAACTGTTAAAAATTTTACTTTGGCAAGATTTCTGTTTTATATTTGATTTACCAATAAAAACCAGGGCTGTGGAGTCGCGTAAAAATCTACCGACTCCAACTTCGACTTTTCCTTACCAATCCGACTCCGGCTAAAACACCAAAACTCCGTGACTCCAACTCCACAGAACCTGATAAAAACATTAAACAAAGCCTAAATTAACAGTACCAATAATACATTAACAGTTTACAAAGCATGATACCCATTAAACATAAAATTGCACAGATGAAATATTTTGTAAACATTCTGTCTGATTGGTTCCTGTTTCTTTCCAATTGTTATTTCCAATAGCCAGTTAATGCATCAGCTAATGGAAACAGCATGTGCACTAATTAGTGTAATATCTGTTTATACTGGTCATTATTACTTTATTATCAGTTTGTTAGTATGTTAAATCAGTTTGTGAATAAAGAGTTTAGTTGGAAAAATATGTAGCAACCAGCTAAAATTACTAAGCAGCGCTGTCTTCTTATTTATCATTTCATTAGCAGAGATTTGCATTTTATACTTACTATATAAGTCAACTTTGTATTGGACATTTTTCAGGCTTAAACAATTGACTTACATGTCAAAATTAGTAGTATTATATTTTTAAACTTTTTCAATCTTAATGGAAAATGTTAGGGATCGTAAATTAAACAATTGTAAAATTTATGAACAAAACAACCATCTTGAAAAGCTTATGAATGAAAACAGAAATTAAATACAGTAATACCTCGACTTATGCTACCCCAACTTATGCGAACCCGGAGTTACACAATTTTCAAATCTTGTCGATTCATCTTTTGTTTGAGCGCCACACAACCCTTGATTACTCACTCCCCCCACACTATTGTTCAGCTTACGTGTTCGGACGTGTCGCGCGGAATCGACACATAGCTACAATTTATTTTGTGTTATTTATTTCTGTGTTTGTTATATCTACGGAGACTTGAGAGACTCTACTATGTCATCCAAACGAAGTAGAACTAATTCTTCTGCATCAAACAAGAAAAGAAAAACTTTATCTTTGGAATGTAAAGTTAACATTGGGTATTTTTGTAAAGTCAAACGAGTTAAATGAGAATGACGTCATCGTTATTCCTATTTCATTAGACTTTTCGAACGATTCGTTACTAACGCATTTAACTCGTTTGACTTTACGAACGTACCCATTATTAAAGACTTTGATACAAAAATGAAAAATTGGCAAAGAAGTTTGATCTACCGAAATCGACAGTCAGAACAATTATAAAAGGTAAAGAAAAAATTCTCGAAGCTGTGAAAGATGCTCAATTTTTAAATTCAAGCATCATTTGTAAACTTCACAGTATTATTGTTGAGATGGAAACAATGTTAACAAGTAAATGTGAAAAATTGTATAATAATATAATTTGTTATAAGTATATATTATCTAANTTGGTCAAATATCTGTTGTCATTGTTTCTGGTAGTAGCATGATTTCACATTCATAAAAGTTTTGATCGTTGCTTACAAAAAACTGATCCAAGTGATTTTTGACATTGTCATTTCAAGTAAATGTCTTACAGTTGAAAAATATTTGTATAGACCAGAACAAGTAATAATCTGAGTGTGCTGGATCTGGTGAATATGGTTGGTATGATAGCATGTCCCATCTAAGTTATAACAGTTTCTGATGAGTTACCAAACTTGTGTGAAATTTGACACCTGTTTTGTTGATTAGTTCTGGCCACCTTTTCTGTCTGATGATATTACTCAATTTGTTTACTCGATGGCAGTACACTTTCGAATCAGTTGTTAAATTGTCTGGTAAAAGCTCCAAAAAAAATTTCCTTAAAATCCCACCAAAGTGAGCATCTCTCTAAGAACATGTGGAACCCATATATTAAGCTTTGAAATGAAACCAATTTGTTTCAAGTAATCATAAACAGTTCAATTTGATAAATTTAATCTCTTAGTAATTTTATGTGTTGTTATTTGGCAGTTTGCTTCAATCAGTACCTTTTTATTTTGTTTTCAATGGCTTCAACTGGCCATCCAGAACGTGGTGCATCTTCAATATTGAAATTGCCAGAATTTCAATATTGCCAGAATTTCAATATTCAATATAAAATTTCATAAACCAGTTTTGGCACTGTCATTCTGTCAATATATCTTCTCCATACATGTCACACAATTTTTTTCTCGCTTGAACAGCATTCTTACATTTTCAGTAATAAAAGAGCAAAATATGCTAAAAATGCTGTTTTTGATCTTCCATATTTGATGGGACACAAAAAATAAACAATTGCACAAAATCAAACAAAATTTTTTACAAATAAGTCTTAAAATGCTAGCTGTTAAAATATATAATGATAATATGGTTTAGAACGAAAATGGCGGGAAAAATATGACTAATCCATATAGTGGTAAAAAAAAAATGAAATTACTTTCCGAACAACCCAATAATATAAAAATTATAACGACTAGCGACATCTAGTTTCAAAGCATTTTTATGCTGAAACAAGATATCTTGGGTCAACTGGACAAGGTCAGTAGGCTGCAACCTGAGATATGTCTGGACACGTTTAGATATTGATTAAGATGAATAATAATAACTGATAATGATTGAATGTTATCAATGCAATCGTGTCTTTCATGCTAACATGAAAAGAAAGTGTAAAAAGTCCTATTTACCCAAAGAAAGTAATAACAACAACCAAAGGTCTGATTACAATGAGCAGTTTTTGTAATGTAGTATAACTTGTATATTTTGGTACATGCTAATTTTGTTAATATTAACTGATAGTATTATTTGTGTTTACAACAAGTAAAGTTTACTGTGTTATAAATTTATAAAATAAAAAAATTATTTAATTCCTTATCATCAGATTGCAACAGAGTATAAATTATCTTGAAAATATTTTTTTTGTGTATTAATCCAGCTTCTTAAACTGGAGTAGAGTATAAATCTAGAGTTCTAGTCTGTTCCAAAAAAACAATTTTTTATTTATCTAACATTTTTGGCTTTCTTAGTATTATATTTAGAACACTTTTCAATGTAAAGTGTTGTAAATATGATACTCTGAAAGCTGAAAATGTTTGATGAATAAAAAATTGTTACTGGAACAGGCTAGAACTCATTACATTTATTGTGTATTGCTAACTGTCTTTCATTTAAAATTTGTAGAACATGAGGACTGTTTATTGATTAAAATCATTTTTTCATTAATTTTTTAATTGGTGAAAACATCAGTTTTCTTATTTGAAGTGAAATTTGTGGGATGTTTAAAAAGTTTATTTTTGCTTTGTAAATATATTTTTTTACACCGAAATATAAAGAATTGCTTTTTTTGTTACCATTATAGCAATAATTAAATGATGAGGCTTGCTGTCACATCAACATAATATTACATCTATACCCTTCAACAAAGTTATGATCTGTCACTGTTATCTGTGTTAAATAGAAATTGAATAGATTTATTTGAATAGATGTATTCAGATGTATGAAAACTGAATGACTTTTAGGGTCAGTTTCATAAATTACCATATAAACTACAAAATTTGTAATTTGAAAAAATGTAACCTATGATTTTAAAAATTTGATCTTGTCACTAACCTGAAGAATAAGCTATGCTCATTGCACAAGTTTCTTTGACTCGTCAGATAGTTATCAGCTAGTTAGCCAGAAAATTCTTATTGTGAAGTCATGTTATTGAGAGGAATGGTAAAGAAGACAAAGGAGTGAAAAATGAGTAAGTGAAGGTGTTATATACAGTACATTTTCATGTATACTCCACATGTACTGTACATGAAAATATACTGTATATTAGGAGATTTTGTGGATTCTACATACAACATTTTAATATAAGTACTTCATGTTTTGTGATACCATAAGTGTTGACACTAGACACTTGATTTTTCCACATCCATTTTATGATAACTCAAAACATAGCTTAAAAAAGGCATGGTTTCAACACGAGAAGATAAGTACTTTATATTAAAATAATTAATATTTTAATATTATAAAAGTAAGATTTTTTTTACTATGACAATTAACATAAAACTATAGCTTTTTACGTTGAAATCAATTCTCAAAATTTATAATCTGTTACAATGTTAGGTTAATAAGATCTGGTCTTCCTTAGAACTATTGTGCCAATATTAAAATAATCATTCTATAAATATTCTGAATAAAGATTATCTACATTGAAATTGGAGATGGTTGGCCATCTTGTTTCTTTGCTAGTCTACAGAATTAATTTTACCACCCAATTAACTTCAGCAGTTTATCTCAAATATTTACACTCATGCAACACATTAAGGGTAATTCTGTAGATTAAAGTGCATTTAACCTTGAGATAAAACTTGTGCAACTCACTCTTAAAGAATTATGTTTAAAATGTGGTAAGATTATGACAATTTTATTTTGTAAGTATAAAATATACTTTTTATTACAGGCGTAGTTACAGCCGCAGTCGCTCTAGAAGCAGAGATCGTAGTCGCAGAAGCCGTAGTCGTGAACATCGCAGAAGTAGCCGAGAGCGTAGACATAGACGAAGAAGTCCGACTAAAAGTAGATCCAGATCCAAATCGATGTCTCGTTCTCGATCTCGGTTAGTTTCCCTTCATGAATTTTTGATAATAAAATTCTAAATAAATATAAAGTTAAAAAATTTTGATTTGCATATTGAAATTGATTATATCTACAAGCAAAATCCAAAACTTTTACATCTTTATGTAACATAAGTTGTTTGTGTTTTAAATATTACTCTTAGATATTGCTAAGCTTATTATATTGATATCAACACATACTGAAAAGAAAATCAACTTTTTGTATTTGAATGAAACTTTGTGTGTTTATGTTTTTATATATAAAGTCTAGCAGCATCTTGTAACATCTGTATGAAACACCTAAATTTACATATACAAACATGATGCTTTTATACTGTTTTATTATATAAGAAATTCCTGTAATAACATAAATTACTGAATATTTTAGTTCAATAAGCAGAGAGAAAGAAAAGAAAAAGAGCATTAAAAATCGTAGTAAAAGTCGTGAAAGAAGCCGAGAAGATAGTAGAAGTAAAAGTCCCAGCAGAAGTCGTAGCCGATCTGCTGATCATAAAGATGAATCGCCATCTCGTCAAGAAAGTCAAAGTCCTGAAGAAAGGGTAATTATATCATTACTTTTAACAAAATCAATATTATCAAAAACTTGCCCTAATTCTTGTTCAGTTATTTATATTATTAACTTTTTTGGTCTATGTAAAAAATTTAAAATTTAGAAAACTATATTAAATGCGAATATTAAATGTAAATTGCATGTAATTAAATATATAAAAATTTATAAGAACATCTGAAAAAATAATAATATATGTTATTTCCGTATCATTTACAGAATTATTATTTCTAATTTGGCTAGCTTGTACCATTTCTTCAGATGAATAAAATTTGGGAAAGTAGTTTTACTTTATAAAATCATGGTTCATATTACATTTTGAATATTTAAATCAACTTTAAATAGATGCAACTCTGTTACAGAGTATAAAAACTAATATAATAAAAAAGACTTAANACACAGAAAGCAATGATGTAATTATACAAAACAAAAATTATTAGGTAAATTTTATTTTTGCAGTTTAGAAAATGAAGTTTATTAGTAATTATTTTCAGTATATTAAACTACTATTATTATTGTATTACCTCTATAATTACAAAACCAAGCATGACATACATTACTAAACAAATAATATATTGCTTTATTTGGGATATAATATGGCTATTAATCAGCCATTTTGTAGCACAAATAAAATCTGGAGATATTATTCTATGTATTCCAATTGTTTCAAGAGGACATGAATTAAAAGTGTGTATATACACACTTTTAATCTATGTCCTTATATGTACAGGGTGAATGTAAAGTTACTTGCACTCTTTATGTTACTAAAGTACTGAAGATATATTAATTTTGTTTATATAATTATATAGGAGGCTGTACATAGTCAATTGGATTGGACTTTTCTTCACCTTAAAAATCATTTACACTGTTATGTAATAAACCCTTTTACTCCTCATAAATTTAAAGTTCTAAATTATGCAGTCTAAATATATTTATTTGAATGCAGAAAGTGGTTTTAGACTAATAAAATGATGCTCTTTGTTGTTCAAACTTTCATTATCTCTACTCATTAAAAAGTTACAACATAAATGACTTTGAAGATTATTTTAAAGGTGAAGAAAATACCATTCAGTTTCTAATGTATGACTTCCTGTGTAATTACATTGACAAAATTTATGTATCTTCAGTACTTGCAGAACAAAAAGGGTGCAGACAAAAAAACTGGCACACAAGCTGGAAATATATACTAAAACAACCATTTCACACCTAAACAATAATTCCAGCAAATGAACAACTTGTTGTTCATTTGCTGGAATTATCGTTTAGGTGTGAAGTGGTTGTTTTAAAAAGGGTGCAAGGAACTTTTGCCTCATCCTGTATAAATATAGATCTAATAGTCTAATAATTCTAAAAATAAAATTTCATGAAATAAAAAAAAAGCTATTGCATAGAATGTTAAAGTTGCTCATTGAGTTTGAGAATGAAACATGATTTAAATCCAAACAAGCTAATGTATACACTGGCAACTTAGTTATGATATATCAATATGTATTATATTTATAAATGTCAAGTAGTAGTAAATTCTTTATAGATAGATATTGAAGTCATTCACTTCACATAAATATATTTTATGATATTTCTGATAATTGTGTACACAACTCTTGTGAAGTTTTAAGTCCTCATTTTTTATTAAATATACTAGCTTACCCGTCGCGCATTGCTGCGATCTCAGAAGAAAGGAAATTTAAGCAAACTCATCATNCAATGTAATCAAGTAAATGTGAAAAATTGTATAATAATATAATTTGTTATAAGTATATATTATCTAAGATTTTATTAAACATTTTTTTCTAAATTATTGTTTTCTTTAGTCTCCAGCCCCAATTTAAAATTATTTGTATGTATTTAAATGCGAAATTATACCCCGACTTACGCGAATTCAACTTAAGCGGTTATCACTCGGTCCCACCTATCGCGTAAGTTTGGGGTATCACTGTATTCAAAAATAGTCATATTTTGTAAAACTTCCTTTGATTTTGTTATGGATTTGAAGTATTTAGAAAAACAATTTATGAACTGTTTGTGTGAATTAACTATTTGTATAAATCATTAATATAAAATTAAAAAAAAAAGATGGAAATATTTCTCAGTGAATACAAACAAAATTATATTATTTTAAGTATTTAATTAAACGTGATGTATTGTAAATGGAAAATTCTTTGAATAAAATTTACGGAGAAGCTTTAAATCATACCAGTGAATGCAAAAATATTTGTGAAAATACAAAATAGTTGAATTGTTGAATATGACTTAACTGGGAAAAAATTATGCAAAATGATTCAAAAGTAAACTTAAGGTTTTGAATTTATTCTTGTCATTTTTTCCAGTACACAAATTTTGCTGAACATTTTAGTTTTACTGATCGAGAATATTACCAGTATAAATTTTTTTATAGATGCTTGTACATAAGATTTTTGAATTGTGATATGTTTGGCTTATTGATGTACTTTGCTATTATTTACTATTCTTGAAGTCTAGATTACATTTGCTATGTACTAGGGATTTGTGTTAATAATTTTTAGATTCTTTGTTGTGTATTTGGCAAATGAAGAAAAACAGTAATATTTAATAAACATTGCAATTAAAACTTTGTAAAAATCTGTTAATTTCATTAAAATAGAATCATTTTCTTACTGTTGTTATGAATTATAATTGTTTAAATAAAAGACTATTTCTGTGTTAAAATAATCCTTTCTAGTGCTCACAGGACTGAAAAAAGATTTTAGTTTATATTAATGTAATGAAACTGGAATATTTACACCTTTAATTTTTCAGTATTCATTCTATATTTTAAACTAATAGTTTCAATCCTTTAAAGCAAATATAAATTATACAAACACAAATTTATACTCAGGTAAACTTGTTAACTTAGGTTGAAAGAAGAAATATGTTACATTTGTACAATTTATACTGTGCTAAACCTGAGAATAATCCTTTATAAGGATTGAAAATACTGATTTAAAATATAGAATGAATACTGGAAAATTAAAGGTGTATTATTTATTATAGTGTTTAATTTTTAAAATGATACATTTTTATTGAAATATTGCGAAATGTCTTAAAGATATTAGTCATAAATATTTGAAATCAGTGCATTTCATATGTGGTCTTTTAAAAATACTTTATAGTGTACAGAGATATTTATTCGACACTTCAGCTTTTGATTAATGTTCATACTATAAATGAGGCCCTAATTATTAAATGCAGCTTTAAATCTTGTTTTTAAAAGTAAATTTAAATTTTCACAAAATATAATTTTTTTAATTATAAATTAATTAAAATATGTGGATAATCTAATTAAACAAGTTTATAAAATTATTTTTGATAAATTTTACAAAAGTTTATTTAGTTAATATTAAGTGCATTTGATTTTTTATCTGTCATCTTTATTAATATCAAAGAGATGCAAAATATATCTAGAAGAAAAATGAAATTAAAATTGATAAGAGAATGATTAAATAAGATTTTAATTATAAAACTGGGTTTGAATTTAATTGTATTTAATTTAGCTTTTATTATTGTTTGATGATATAAAAGTTCTTAAAAGCAAATAAAAGCACTTTTAATTAAGTGAAGAACTTAATTTGACATTAAATGCTTTTGAAGCTTTGAAAAGTTTATGTAATATTAATACTTTTTAGTTTATTAAAATAATTTTTGGGCGTTTTTAAGAAAGTATTTTTCAGTCAAAAATGTCAGAAAGCCGACATTCAATTCAAGATTCACATTAGAAAAATAAAAAGTAAATTTAAATATATAAAAATTTATAAGAACATCTGAAAAAATAATAATATATGTTATTTCCGTATCATTTACAGAATTATTATTTCTAATTTGGCTAGCTTGTACCATTTCTTCAGATGAATAAAATTTGGGAAAGTAGTTTTACTTTATAAAATCATGGTTCATATTACATTTTGAATATTTAAATCAACTTTAAATAGATGCAACTCTGTTACAGAGTATAAAAACTAATATAATAAAAAAGACTTAAAGATATACTTTATCTCAAATATATTAATCAATAAAGCCAGTATTTATAATATATATGCAAAAATTTTGTGTAGTTTCAAATTGACATGGTTATTTTATTTCATACTTATGTATTCTCAGTTATGATGACTGAGAATACTTGCAAAATTTTAATTTATATTTAATAATTTAATATTTACACCAATGCATTGTCACTGATAAGTAA